GCCTATCCTGGCACTCACTCTGGAGACCAGGCTGGCCTCGAACTCCCAAAGATCTGCCTGCCTCTGCCTCCTGAGTGCTGGGATTAAAGGTGTGCACCACCAATACTGGCCCAGGGCTTTACATTTAACCTTTTCTCTCTAATGGATTATATAGAATCCTTGTAAAGTCTGTTGTTGGTGTAATGATGGCAAGAGAAAGTCCTCTTGACTCGTGTGTGTCAAGTGTGCTGAGGGCACATTAGGTATATATATATATATATATATATATATATATATATATATATACATACATACCCTTAATGTTTGATCTCCTGGGGGAAAATATTGTGCTATGGCATATTTTTCATGAAACACACTGATCCCACGTGAGGCTCAAGGAGCATGTCATTCCTGTGACTGGCATGAGCTCATGGTGCCTCCACTGAGGAAAGCCAGGGGAAGTGGTGCCAGCACTTAGAGCTGCCCTGAGCGAATGCCTGCTGGCTCCATGGTAAACATAGGCCTTTTAATAGGCTGGAGACAAAGTGACATTCGGAAGAAACAACATGTCGACAATTTCCTTAATAAATTTTGTAGGAATGCATTATTTCCACCTTGTGGAAATGTAGCTCTCTTAAATAATTGAGAGGTTGCATTCATCAGTGCAGCGGTCAGCAGAGATCACTGTGAGCTAGGGCAGCTCACAGCCCTTTGAAAGACTGGGTAACTGATATTTTACACAAACGACCCGGCTGGTGTTCAGAATGTCTGTGTGGCATCCCACAGTCCCACTGTCTGCTCTCTTCTGCTGTCCAAATGTCGAATTCTAGTTGCACCCAGGGTCACAGTTAATTGTGTTTTAGAATGGGCATCACCCTGGTCATTTGTGCTTGCTGTGGTTTATTCTGTCTGCTGACCAGCCGCAGCATTGGCACAAAATCTTGATTTTAATGAAAAGTGATGATACTGAATGTTCAGTTCATTTGAATGTGCCATGTTATAGTAGCGTATGTTGAGAAAGCCAATTGCAAGAATGAAAGAGTCGCCCATGGGCAATGGTGGTGCATCTTTAATCCCAGCAGTTGGGAAGCAGAGGCAGGAGGATCTCTGTGAGTTTGAGGCCTGGTCTACAAAGCGAGTTACAGGACAGCCAGAGCAGTTCCACAGAGAAACCCTGTCTCAAAAAACAAAAACAAACAGAATGAAAGAGCAAGTGCTAGAGGAATTTGGTAGTTGTGGGTAGTGACACTGGTGTGCAGACTTGAAGGAAAGTGACGGTAAGAAGGATTCTGGGGAAGGTAAAGAGGTCTCGCCGCTCTCAGCCCCAGAGAGAACTGAGTCTCCTACTAAGTATTTTTAGTTGTGGTTGTATGAAAAGGCATCTGGGCAGAAGTTGGCTCTAGACCCTGACATCCTGTGTTCCTGGTGAGCTCTCCCCACAGAGGGTTTACCATTTCACTAGGGGTGGGAGGAAAGAGCGAGTGAGCAAGGATTCGTGTGCCTAGATGGCACTTGTTGCTGAACAGAGATTTGCCATAATTTTAGCCTCCAGGGCCTCCCCAAGAGCTATGGTCTTATCTCAGGGAGGGCTTAAGGTATTGGATTACTGTTTTGACTTTTTTGTTCGTTTTACAGGTGGTTCCTGAAATGACAGAAATACTGAAGAAAAAATAAATAAAAATCATATCTTAAGGAAACTATCAAAAGTATTCAGCTGAAATCATAGAAATATAATCTGAGGAAAGAAAGTATGCTAACAGCAGCTAGAATGCCTTTTGATGAATCAATTATTCCTTTTTAATTTTTTTGTGGTCCTAAACAATTATTTTTTGACATTTTCTAATTCTGTAATAAAATAAAGTTTTGTCATCCTTTAAAATTACTATCAAAACTTGTCGAACTTCTTAAATAAAGAAGACATTGAAGAAAGGGAATAAAATGTATGTCTAGCCAGGTGTGGTGGCATTCACCTTTAATTGCAGCACCCCACGGGCAGATGGGTGGGTTTCTGTGAACTCAAAGCAAGCCTAGTCCACATAGCAAGTTCCAGCCAACCAGGCTACATAGATCCTGTCTCAAATCATCATCTTCATCACTTATTTCTTCACTTGTCATATTCCTGGGTGCTTTCTGTTTTAGGCAATATTGTTAAGCATAAAACTTTCCATAGCCTGGTCACCCTAGTATTGTCATTGAATGGCATATCCCAGAAGATAGGAGCTGGATTGGCAAATTCAAAGCTACAGAAGCTTGACCACAAAGTGTGAATGTTCTGGAGCACTCTAGTCTTCAGACAAAGTAAACCTGACCATGCTGAAAGTGTTTGCTTTGTTTAACTCAAACTTCAGTTGTCCATCTTAAGTCTAGAGGTCCTAAGGGGTTTGTCAGTTATCAGACTTTGTGTCTGCAAAGGATGGGGAGTGGAAAAGATGGACTACTCTTTGAGACAGTATAACTTTTTATACAGATGGTTTGATACTACTATGAATGTTCAGAATTCTGCTCAGAAAATACTCTGTCCTTTCCTTTAATCTCTGTGTGGAGAAAAGCAACCAGGCCCCTTCATCGTCTGCACCTGTAGTCACGCTCCTGCCCTAGGGTTCTGATGCACAAGGAGTACAAGTCTGGAGGCCTGCAGGTCTGAGACAAAGATGGGTGAGGCTATGACCAGGCCTGCAGGAAGCCATGGGCAGGTTTCTGGAGCCACGTGAGTCATCTGCAGAGTAGAATAGAACTGCCAACTGAGGTGGTGCCTTGTGTTGCACATGCAGCACTACAAAGAAGAGATAGGATGTGAGCAGGAGGGATGGGCAGTGGGACCTCTAGACCCCATCTGGCTATTTTGTCCCTCTCTCTGCTGCCTAATTGAGCCTATTTTGACTTGCAGTCACTTGCTGCAAAGTGCTTTTCGAAGCTGTGGCATTTTAGCCTTTTAGTGAGGTATCACTACAGTAAAGTGATAGTTCTTCATATGTCATGAACACATTCATCCAATGGGATCCTAGAATGCCAGAACTTTGGGGTCATCTGGCTGGGCCCCTGGATGTCCAGGCTGAAATAGTGGGGCACAGAGGAGAGAAAACCATAACTTGAATTGCCTTGGCATTCATGGCTTCAGTCACCCCATGAAGTGATTGCTGTATTTTTCCATCTCTGGGGTACCTTTTTAGCGGCTTCTCCATTTACCTCTCATCTCTGTTGTGGGGGCAGGAGCAATGGAAGATGTGAGCTGTAGAGGGACCCCCATTGAGAAATGCTGGTCAGAGGAACACCTCAAGTAGCACCTTCTGAGTAGAACTGATTTCCTTTCTCCACTGATTCCTCTTGTCATAGCTGCCCTGTCCCAGCTCCAAGAACCAGAATTTACGGGATGCAGCTCATATCATCCTCACCATAGCTTTTGGCATAGTCATATCACTTGCCAGGCTGGTGAGTTCTGAGAAATGTCCATTTTGTTCTTCAGATATCATTGTTAGTACAAACCTAGATACCCTAGTCAACCCTATACCTAGTGTTCATACTATGTATATATCTTCATGTGACTGGCAGCACAGTCAGTTTGTTTACATCTATCCCACAGATGTGTGCTTAATATGTTGTACCATGTTACTACCACACGATAGAAATTGGCAGCAACACTGCAGGCTTATAGGACTACTGTCACATAGGTGTTCTGCAATTCTTGACAGTACAGTGTTTGCTATGCGTATAACCAGGCACTGTTCTAGTACTTCCCATCTCTCTGGTCTTCATAATGGTCATTAAATTATATTCTGCTTTGGTTGGTTTACAGCAATAATTATAACCTCTTTGAGGTTGTGTAACTTCAAATTCAGACAGCTAAACCAGAGCCAGGATTTGAAACTGGGCAGTCTGCCTTCAGAGTGGTGACTTCACTATGAATCTGATTCTCCCTCTACTCAAGGGACAGGGGGACCAGGCCTACACAGGAATCAGCCTCAGACATAGCACTAAGTGATTCCTGCCACCGATGAGGCTTTGTGGTGAAAAGGAGAGGCAGTGTTCTGGGATAGTGTCTCCAGAAGGATTTCATGGAACTGAAAAGTCCCTTTGAGTGCCACCTTGGGGTGTATTTCCAAAAGTCTGGGAAGATAGTTCCGATGGTAAAGTGCCACATAGTCATGAGTTTGGATAACTGGTACCTTCTGAAAGGTCACAGCCCTACTGGGGAGATGGAGATAGGTGGGTCCATGATGCTTGCTAGCTAGCTAGCTAAACTAAATCAGTGAGCTACAAGTTCAATAGAAGACCCTGCCTCAAAAAAATAAGGTGGAAAGGGAGTGAGGGAAAGACAACCGATGTTGGTTTCTGGCAACCACATGCACACACATTTGTACACACATGTAAACATGTACACACAAAAAGTCAGCAGTGGAAGATGGGTTAAAGTGAAAACTTATTCCACAAGGCATGGTCTGAGGTACCCTTTTATCTTTTTTGGAAACCAAACTATCAATTCCCACTGTTCTTTTCTCTGGCTCTAGACCTCTGGAAGCAGCGGAAGGAGGAGGCAAGTGCAGTGTGCTTATGACCTATGTGTGTGCTTCCCATTTCCTTCTGCTTGTCTAAGGTCTGGTTAGCCTCCGGTGACCCCTGGGAGTTTTGGTGGCCTGTTTTCCTTTGTAGGACAGCCCCTGAGAGGACAGAGATGCCCCTTCTGTCATACTGCCTGAGGCCCAGTGGTGACACGGCTCCTAACATTGTCCCATGTGATCAGTAATGGTGCAGGAAACGTTCTTGCAACATTTGATGGCTCAGCAGTTGTGATGTGTGGGAGCCACAGCCTGAAGTGGCTTTCGCTGTGCTTGTCTGAGAGGACAGGATGCTAGTCTCTGAGATCACAGGGTGTTGAAGGCATGGCATCTGCCCTCTGCATTTTACCAATAAAGATGAGAGGATATGCAAAAGCAGAGAGCAAACACTAGGCATTGTCACTGAATATCCCCTAGTGGGCCAGCGGTGGGTCTTCTTCAGGGGCTGCAGGCTTTGCATTAACATGTAGGGTGGAAGAGGAAACTGAGCTCAGAGATTATGTGGATAGTTGAAACAGTGAGGGGCAGAAATGTAGAGTTTTAGAAGTGTGGGTTAAGGGAAGCCAGTTTGTAGGGGGTCATCATTGACAAGTTTAGGAGGCCTTTTCCCTCCTAAACTGATGTTTCTCAAACTTTGCTCTCAAGGAATGCTCCCATGATGATGGTTCTGTGAAAGTGCACCATAGAGGGACAGTCAGAGCTGTGAAGTCGTCCTTCACATCCTTTGCACAAACTTTGCTGTCTGTACCTTTGTTTTCTAGGCAATGCAAGCAGGTGCATAAGTGAATGGATGAGAAGATGAGCCTACCACTCCATAGCTTTTGTTTTGTCTTAGGGACATACCAGGTAATTTTGTTGAATATTTTTTAAATCCTTTCTGCTAGTCGGTGGCTATTGTTTGGATGTTTTAGAATTAAGTATGTGAGCATATTGGGCCAAGATTGTGGTTTATTGGATTAAATGCTTGCTAGACAAGCATGGGGAACAGAGTTGGGATCCCCAGGACTCACGTCAAAGCCTGGCAGGTGCAGTAGCCACCTACAAGAGGTAGGATCTCAGGACTAGCTACCTAACTAGCTAAACTAGCTAGAATTGAGTTTAGTGAGAATCTGTGCCTCAATAAAGAAAATGGAGAGCCACTGAAGAAAACTTCCAGATTTCAATGTTAGGTATCCACAAAAATGCACACACACACACACACACACACACACACACGCACACGCACACGCACACAATCAGCACTCATTCACACATGCATACCATCAAAAGATCAGCCTACTGAGTGTTCTACAAAGAGCTGCATGACCTGAGGTCCTGCCACCTGAGGAGGTCATGGCAATGGAGAGCCCCTGAGTTTTTGTGGAAGCCCCATGACCTACCGAGACAACTAGCTGGACCTGGTGTGTTCACGATGATGGAGGGAAGGAAAAATGGAAGCCATTTGAAGGTGGTTACAGGAGTCCTCTGGCTTCATGCCCTGAATGGGTTTAGCTGAAAACTCTTTGGCTACAAAATGAATCCCCAGAGACTGTGTAAATGGGTCCAGTGCTGTGGGTGAGGCTGGCAGAGAGCAAGCTTTTCCTCCCAGGATAGCAGGGGAGCCGGGTTGCCGCCAGAGCCTGGGTGTGTCTGCGCCGGCTGGAGGACTGGAAACCCCAGCTGTAAATGCACCTTATGTTCTCATTCGGAAAGGAATGCTCAGCATGGCTATGTTTCATGCGTCTCTGACTAGGGGTTTTGTTTTGGTGGACATAAAAGTGAGCTAGAGAAAGTGGGAAACCCAGAGAACCCTATTCATTGTGCCAGATGGATAAAGTTAGCTGGAGGCTTGACTGATAATCCTGTAAAAAGAGCATATAGGGGGATATACTGTCAGAAGTCCATGTAACCCTAGATTTGGGGGGACTCTGGGAGCCTGAATGAACACTTGCTGATAACCTTGGCTTTTAAAATGCGGGTATACACCATCCTGCCAGTGGGTAGGGAAGAGATTGAGGAAATCATATACACAGGCATTTGCCCCAGGTCACAAAGCAACTGAAACATAACCCAGAATTTTTGGCATATATGGCTTACTAAGACTTGATTGCACACTGGATAATCTCTAATGCAGTGGTCTCACTGCTGCTACCTTCTGCTTGAAGGGCTGAGATAATGACTAGAGACATGGGCATTGGCATATGGAAGCCACACTGGCCTCTGGCTTGGAGGGGCATGGCTTTTCCACTGTTCCAGAGGCTTCCACACCCTACCTCCTCCAGAACTCCTGGAGGGCTGTATGGGCTGCTTCCTCACCACCCCCAGCTTCTTTAGGGCTCTCCTCCATATGCATGGCTTCAGAGCTGCAAATCTGTCGTTAGTGGCAGGAGGCAGTGGTGGCACTGTGGCTTCCTCTGGAGGGTCTGGCACTTGCTTTCCGTGCCATCCAGTCTGGTAGGACGGAGGCCCTGGGAGGTTTGGCCTGCTGGGCATCACCTTTGTTATCTCCCACAACTAGTCACATGGGTCAGGCAGTCAGGACAGACCTGCTTCCCTCTGGACTCCGCAGAAGTTTCTGCTGCTGTCCCTGTGTTGGCCATCTGGGGACATTTAGGCTCATCACCCAGACATTGGCTCTACTACTATAAGGTAGGGTCACTCACTGAGCTAGATCTTGGTTGAAAGGTACCTATTTATTTTTCCTCTTCTTTTAATTTTCCTCTCTTTTGTTGTTGTTACTATTATTATTAGAGATACCATCTCACTCTTTAGCCCAGGATGGCTTTAAACTCACTGTACATCTCAAACTCATGGCTCTCCCCTGCCTCATCTTGAATGCCAAGATGACAGACATCACTCACCATGTCTGGTTTTCTTCCCCATTTGGGCTTTATTTTCATCATATGTAAGATGGTGACTTGAATGTGTAGAAAAATCTCACACTATAAGGGTAAAGACAATTACCTTTTTTTTTTTTTTTTTTTTTGAGAATTTTGTATGCCCAAGATGCTTTGCTGAGCCTCCTAGATGCATGGTCTCCTTAAAGTCTAACGAATCCCCATTCTCCAGATGAGAAGACCAAGCTGACAGGGTTTACACCCTGCCTGGGGACTAGGGACTAGTAGTAACTTTAGATAACCAAATGCCTTACCATGGGACCCAGCTGGGGTTGTCTGGAGTAGAGGAAAGATGTAGCAGCTAGCCAGGTTCAGAGGGCATAGCTGAAAGGAAAGTGCACATCCAAAGCAGAAGGCCCAGCATGAAGAAGCACAAGCTGACTCTCATTCCTGAGGCCTCTTCTAGGCCATTGTTGTGTGCTTTGCTCAGGATTCGGGAAGGGGGTGCAGCAGTGTGGGTCCCGTCTGCTTTCTCCTGTGGCATTGTCCCTACCAGGACCCACGGTCCATGCCCCTTCTTTAAACAATGTAGGCGGAGGTGAGTCCTCCTAGTTATGAGGCCTAATTGATGTTGGGGAGGCTCCTGGAGCGTGGGGTGGAAGGTGCACTGTAAATCTCAGGCACAGGGTCCTGCCACACTCATCACAGTGTTTAATGTCCTGGCTGACCTCCTGGGTAGTCAATTTCATTTGGTTGTTCAGGGTGAATAGGCAGCCTGCTAAGCTGCAGCCTGAGGCTCTGTATGAGATTGTGTCAGTGTGGTGTCCTTGGTGGCTGGTAATAAATTAGCATCAAGTGTTCCATCATTTTCTTTGGATAATTAAATTAACTATGCATCAGGAGACAAAAACCAAACTTTAGAGTAATAGAGCCAAGGAAAGAAAAACCTGCAATATTACGATCTCCTCAATAAGTGTGGGTAGGTTTAGAGGTGGTATTGGAGAAGGAAATGGCAGTCACCTCCTTTCTGAAACTGGGTGACTCCGAGGCATTGTTTACAAGGGAGCACAAGAGGGTGTGCTGGCAGCAAGGGCCCAGGGGCTGGATGTTGGAGATAGGGCAGGGTACCAATCGGTCCTACCCACCTCCCTCCCACTCGGAACTATCAGTGGCAGCAAATGAGATAACGGAGCATCTCCTGGGCATCCGCCCCAGAAGTGCTGAGCGTGCGCTGGCAGAAATGCACCCGAGGCATCTATTATTAATAAGGGTGCCTTCAGCTTGTGTTTCCCTTGAAACATTCTCAAAGGGCTTTCCCTTCCATTATGTCATTAGTTATCCCAGCAACCCTCAGGGGTGGGGCACACAGGAGTCATTATTCTTGTGCTAGGGAGGGAGGAGCTCAAGGGTTTTCTTTGAGTCACAAAGCAAGGCAGAAACAGGACTGGTCTAGGAATCCAGAGGCCCAGGCCTTGCACACTGGAGTTGGGGAGGACAGGGATGAGCTG